GAAACAGAAAGCAATGAATTTGAAGAAGCCAATGAAGAAACGTCTACACAAGAAAGTGATCGAGAAGAAATAGAGGAAAATAAAATTAACAGAGAGATTAATGAACAGCTAATAGAACTAAGAAATAGAGGAAGACCAAGGGGAACAACGAAAGAAGAAATGGATTATCGAAGATACTTAAGACAGAAAGAAGAAGAAATAGAACTGAAGCAGAGAAACGTTAGAAGATCTGAACGAATAAGAAATAGGCAGTCGGCGATGTTAATAATGGATGAAAAAATACCAGGAAACATCAAAGAAGCTAAGAAGTCAGACTATTGGGAATACTGGGAACAGGCCATTGAAAATGAATTAACGTCAATTAAGAAACATAAAGTGTAGGATGTCGTAACGAGACCTGTAGATAAAAGAATAATTAAATCTAAATGGATATTTAATATAAAAGAAGATCAGACAACAGGGCAGCAAAATTATAAAGCTCGATTGGTTGCATTGGGCTGTGGTCAACGACCTGGAATGGATTATGAAGAAACATTTGCTCCTGTGGTAAGAACAGAAATGATAAGACTGCTATTCAGTATAGCTGCAGAAAAAAATAGAAAAGTGAAGATCTACGATGTTAAAACTGCATTTTTACACGGTACACTTGACGAAGAAATTTATATGGAACTGCCTGAAGGATTTCAAGATAATAACGGCAATAAGTCTGTAAATTAAAAAAGAGTATATATGGTCTAAAGCAAGCAGGAAGGTGTTGGAACGAGTTGGAACGAGTTATTGACAGAAGTTTTGTTAAGAATTGAGGTAAAACAATCTAAAGAAGATCCGTGTCTATTCTATGTTAGAAAAGGAGACCAATTCTTGTTGATTGGAACTCATGTTGATGACATGGCAGTAGTATCAAACGAAGAGGAATTTGAAAAAAGTTACATAAAAAGGATAGAACAACACATTGATATTAAAATTATTGGAGAAGCAAAAACAATGCTTGGAATGCAATTAGATCAAGAAGAAGGAAAAATTTATGTGCATCAGAAGAAATATATAGAAAAACTTCTCAAAATGTATGGGATGGAAGATTGTAACATCGTGAAATCGCCCATTGACATGAACGTCAAGATAGGGGATTGTATAGAAAGTGAACATGCCGATGTTCAGATGTATCACGAGTTGATCGGACGATTGATGTACTTGAGCGTATGCACAAGACCAGATCTATCATTTGCACTGAGTTATTTGTCGCAATTTAACAACAAACCTAGACGTCCACATATGTTGGCATTAAAAAGAATTCTACGGTATTTGAAAGGAACAGCAAACTATCGTCTGGAATTTGGAAGAAACACAGTGAATAATATTGAATGTGAGGCTGATGCATCATGGGATAGAACGGAAGATGAAAAATCGTTCACTGGACTATTGATTTACAGAAATGGAAATTTAGTGCATTGGAAAAGTAGAAAGCAAACAATAGTTGCATCATCATCAACAGAAAGCGAACTAGAAGCTATGATCGAAGGACTAAAAGAAGTGATATGGATTTCAAGATTGCTGGATGAAATTGAGATGTCAGGAAAGTTGTCAAAAGAATTAAATTGTGACAATCTGAATGCTGTAAGACTAGCTAATGGTGGTAATTTTAAAACAAAATCCAAGTTGTTGAACAGGAAACACTACTACATAAGAGAAGCTGTAAAAGAAAAAAAAATTCAGGTGAAGCATGTACCAAATGAGGAAATGACGGCGGATTGTTTGACAAAACCATTGAGTGAACCAGCATTAGTCAAAAATGTGAAAAAGTTTATGAGTATTATTAATTGATGAAGTCAAGAGGGCAGATTGTGGATGTTGCCTTCATCATCCTTTATTATTTGGATATCTTATTCTTGTCGTTAGTAATCATATCTTGTCGTTAATAATCAGGTTCTAGCTTGGAGTTGAAAGTTGCTGAGAAACTTCATAAATGGCGGGATAAAAACGGAGGAGAGAGCGCCACTACTGAGAGAAAGGACATGATCCTAGTTGATGGGGACTCCGATCTAGAGAAAAGTTTTTATGTTTCAAGGATGGGAAGAATAAGAGAGGACGATCCATCCAAAGAGAATGTAGCAACAAAGCACGAGAAGAATTACTGTATTTTAGAACGAATATACACCATTATATTAGAAGCGTTGTGATTATCTGGTATTTCGTAACCTTCCCTCCTCTCAAGTTTCGTTCTCGTCTGAAAGAGAGGGGTGATTACTCTTCAAGAAATGCCTTGGCCTTAAATTATCACATCTTTCAGTTGACAGTAAGTTATGACATTTATATTTGAGAGTTCATTTATTTATTTATGTATTTTCAACAATTAATAAAATGTATTATTCTCATGCATTAGGAATCATTGAAAGTAAGGTGGTACAAACTCACACTGAAGATCCATGTGAAAAATGAAAGAACAACGCGAAGATTTAATTTAAGTGGATTTTATATCATTAATATTGTTGACACGCTATATTCTATTATGTATTAAGAAATATGTAGAACATCTACAGTATGTTCCATATTCTATAGTAGATAATAAAAATGGCGGTGTAATATATATTAGCCTTCCTTCCAATTCAAATTAAATATAATATGATATATGAAATCCAAATGCGAGTGGTGAATTTAAACACGAGTGGTGACATTTATAGTACATTATGAAGCGTGGTTTTGAATGTAAAGATCAATGTAATTTTGCATCACTGAGAAATATTGTTTTCGGGACTCGTACAGTTGTATCGAGAAATCGCACATAGTATTCCGGAGATACTTCCGGGTATAGGATACATTCCGTTAAAACGTGAGCGCTGCTTCGCGTGAGGTTGCACTAGAAGACTGAACTGGGAATAAATGACGCAGAACAACGTCGTCTGGACAAATCCTTTAAAATATCCTGATACGTATTCACCAAAGTTTGTCTATGAAGATTTCGTTCTCCAATTCTATGTATAGTTTTGGGTATTATTATTTACACATCCCATTCGTGCGAGTTAACACAATAAACCACAAGTATCATTTACATATCATCTATGTTAGAATGTCACTCTCAATTATGTAAATGCTACATAACACCATGTGTTATATAGTATTTACATGATTGAATGTTACATTCTAAAATAGATGACATGTCACTGATACTTGGTGTTGGCAGAGAAAGGCAGATTTACGCGTTAAATCTCGCTTTCCACTGTGTGAAAGACTTTTCATAAAAATATTGTACAAATGCATGCATTATTGCAACTGTAAATACAGTAGCTGTAATATCTTTTGAGTATTTTAATATCGCATTTTCTTTGTTTGTATATTTTGTCTGCATGACGCTTGCATGACATTACTATTATGTTCTTTCCTTTATGTTTGCTTCTTCCTTTCCTTACATCCTACCATTCCTTAGGAAATATAAACCAATGTCAAATAATTCCATTTCATAAGTGACTTATTCGACATTTGTTTACCATTTCCTCCTGATGGAAGAAACCATCACCTTCTCGCGGTTTCCATCGAGCAGTAATGTGGATTCACATATTCTTTTTTATTAAAACCATTAATATACACGACACAGTACATGTTTTTAAATACTGATTACTTACTTAATTACTAATAATTACTTTATTAATAGTTTTTCATTCTTCATGCATGCACAATACCACTGCAGTACTACATGCATAATGCATTTGCTTCATACTTTGGTATCATCGCAAGAAGAATGTTCACTCTTTTTCCAACTTCATTTTATCCATGTTGCTGGCAAAGAGTGAGTTCCCTAAACTGTATGCTATAACTGTACACTGTTTTTCATCTATTTACGGTGATTTTTCACAAATAATTCGTTAAACTTTGTGTCATTTAAATACAAACATAGTATTATTATATTTTTATTGAGTGGTATACTAAACACTGAACTCAGAGTGCTGCCACTTATTTGGGATGGTTCACTTATTTCTCTTAGACAGGTTTATTGGATTAACAGTTGTGCTGTTCGACACTGCATCGAAAATACATGGGAAAACCGTTTCGCAAACAAGTGAATACATTCGAAGATATTATAATAGGCAAATGAATTACCTTTTTACTAGACTGTATATTTATTAATACACTGTACATCATTTTAAATATAACATTGTTCTGAGGATTTTCTCATTCAGCGCGGCGAAACAGACATATTTTATGAATTCTTTTCGCACAAACAGAAGATTTCACGGATGTAATTGTTTTTGAGGATTGTTTAATACTGTTTGAAGAATATTTGTTAATTCAGAGGATATTGTAACGAAAGCAAGAAGGTTTCATTTCGTACCTTCTTAATTTTGTTATAATACTTTTATAATATTTTATTTTATATCTTTGTACAACTTAAAATTATTCCTCAAATATTACCAAACAATTCCCAACAACAATCAAATCTATGAATCTGTCCGCCTCAGCAAAACAATTAATGAAATATATTTCATTTTCTCGGCGCGGAATATTATTAATATTATTATAAACAATTATATTATTAATAATAAAATAATATTCATAATAATTTCGACACGCCGAATAGGAAAAACTCACATGGAGATGACGCAACCTATTTCATCGATTTCAACACGAGTCATAGCACACTCGATAGCTATGATGCCGTGTATAAACGCCCTAACATAATATACGTGAATGCGTCTTTGTTCACGAGTAATTTGCAGTTAAAGTTTGGCTCGCGGAGCCGTGCCACACATAGGGCGCAACTTACGACACTTTTTCACGAAGCGGCGTGGCTGAGCAGACAGAGGCGCCGCGAACACTTTTGCGCCGACGACGGCGTTTGAGTCCCGCCGACGACTGGTTCGTTTTTTTTTCGTATGTAAAGACATGTAATAAATATTTTTATATTGTTCTTATGTATAATTCCTTTTTTTGTTTCTACGCTATTAATCAAGGCTAATTAGGAGAATCAGGTCTTTCAAATATGAACACAACTTTTTTATTAATTACAATAAAATGTTTTTTTCGTGTAAATCTATTTCGCATAAATATTTCGTATGGTATGGGAAAGAAATGGCCAGACAGTAATTATTTTGTGTGAGAGAAACCCGAGAGCCGTTAGAACCGGTACAAGTGGAAAGGAACCCTCTTCCCTTTCCCCTTCTCGCAGAGGGATTCTCATGTTTTGTGACGTGCTCGCTTCATTCTCTGGGCAGTCTTCGTAACGTGAACAGTGAAAAACTCGTGTTAAAAATGGAAACCACATTTGTAGATGAAGCAACGATCAGCTATGTGCAAAATCTAGCAAAACGTGATATTACGAAAGAAGAGTTGACGGACGTAATAGAATATCTTCGAGGTAAATATATTGAATGTGTGAGCAATGGAAAGATATATTTGTACGTATTGTTATTGGCCTTATATACAATATCAATTATATTGAATTCATATTTGCAGATGTCCTGATACAATTTCCGTCCAGTCTTGTTGACAGTCGCGAGGTATTTTACAACGTCAATCAAATATGTTTTCCACCAACTGTACATAGTCAAAAGTGTATTTGTGTAAAAAATTATGCGTTCATTACGTGCAGTTGGTACAAAAAACTATTATGTTTTACATGCTTTTATACGGCGTTCCATCCGCAGAGTTGCGACAGCATGACCACATTTTATAATACGTAACTTTCATTTGTGTGCCTTATATTTGTCTTATGTGTGTGTGTATGTGTATGTGTTTTGATACGGACAAAAACATTTTATTGTAATTAATAAAAAAGTTGTGTTCATATTTGAAAGACCTGACTCTCCTAATTAGCCTTGATTAATAGCGTAGAAACAAAAAAAAGAATTATACATAAGAATAATATAAAAATATTTATTACATGTCTTTACATAACGAAAAGAAAACGAACCAGTCGTCGGCGGGACTCGAACGCCGTCGTCGGCGCAAAAGTGTTTGCGGCGCGGGAGCCTCTGTCTGCTCAGCCACGCCGGCTTCGTGAAAGAGTGTCGTAACTTGCGCCCTATGTGGGGCACGGCTCCGCGAGCTAAACTTTAACTGCAAATTACTCGTAAACAAAGACGCATTCACGCATATTATGTTAGGGCGTTTATACACATCATAGCTATCGAGTGTGCTATGACTCATGTTGAAATCGATGAAACAGGTTGCATCATCTCCTTGTCAGTATCGTCATAGTCGCGCTCGCGACTCAGATTATAGCCGAGAAAGAATCAGCCTAATTCGCGTCGCTGAGCGAGAACGAGAGCGAGAAAGAGGGAAAGATATTCTCGCTCGTGTCGCTGAGCGAACACGAGAGTGAGAAAGAGGGAATGATATTCTCTCTCTCGCTCGGCACGCCGACGATTGCCGAGCGCGTGGCCGACACAGATAGACCGAGTCGGCTGTGTGTGCGTGCGTGGTGGGGGAAATTCGCTGGCAAGCCCGTCACCGATTTCTCATCACTGCCGTAAGGGTGCTACTGTTGCCAGTCAACGTAAGCGTTAGCGACATGTTCGCAAATTGCCAAGCGAATATTGACAGCTGTTAGTGGAATGTTGTCATTTAAATCCATAACGATCTTCTACCGTTTGGAGAAACTGTAAACACAATTGTCCGGATATGCTCTGACTGTAATGTTGATAAGACGTGCGATTGTACACAATTTTCACTACATCTCTCTCAAGGTATCGAATCAATTCCACTGGGCGGTCGAAGATTACCAAAACTATCAAAATATACTGCGCGATTTCCTCTTTTCGCATACACCACCCAGTGTGTACCTGGCCCCTGTGTTGTCTAAATTTACAATACCACTCTCGTTTTGACGTACTCCATCTATCAGTAAGGCGTCACGCATGAAAACACCTCGAAAGAAAGATATACGCATACGCCTCGCTAGTCTTTCCAACAGTACGTAAGTCATTGCACCCATGGGTAATTTTGGCGTCTCTTTGACGTTTTTTTTCTGCAGCGCCTTTCGCGCGCTTGTACGGAGCAAGATAGATTTCCTTTCATAGCGCGATCTTCCATAGCGCGATGATGACGTTTTAATTCTTCCAGCTGACGTTGCGCGGCTTTGCCATCATTCACCGCTTTTGCGACACCCGCCGCTCCACCGACTAGTGAATCGAGAACTCCCAGTAATGGTAGAATTGGTAAAATACTACCCAGTTTTGCTATTGGAAGTGCTCGTTTTCGGATTTCTTTCTTGGACGACTTCTTTTTCTTCATTCCCATGCCGATTTTCGTTTTGGCTTTCATGGCAGCCCAAACGACTGCAGCAGCAGCTCTCGCCCCTAGAGTTGAATCTTTCGAAATTATACGTTTCCACGCTTTTATAGCGAAAATCTTATCCGCCACGTGCCGATCAGCGAGATTGTTGCTACGCGAATAGGCTATATCGTACTCACGACACGCTGCGTCCAATGAATTAATGCCTTGATCGCCTCTGGCCAATCGTTTTGCCAAGCGAGTTCCAGGACCACAAAATTGGTATCCGGGAATGTGTAGTTCGATAGGAAGCGCATTTATCGCGCGATTGAACAGACCGCCGCCGACTTTGACTTTTGTCAACGACATTTACCACAGTCCTTGATCAGCGGTGTCGGACCGTCGATGTGTTCGCTGCTACGGACGATTGTAATGTTCCAAACACCGACGAAACTGCTGATGAACCTCTGGATCGACTCTTAAATGTTCAGGGAGTCTGTCCCACAAATCGTCAATATACTTTGCAAAATCATGTAATAAAACAATCTTCGGTATGTATTTCAACTGTTCGGAGGTTAGCTCTCGAATATCACGAGTATCTGTCAGAAGGAGCAACATTTTCTAAACTAAGCGTTTCCAAGATCGACGCGTCTATATATAGTTCAATAGCAACGATCCGTTAACATAATCAGTTTTGTGACTCGTGGGGGAAACATGCGGTTCGTGAAGCAACCGACGTCGGATACGTGTGACAAATTTCGACAATAGAACGCAATCAATGATTGAGCAAGAGGCGCGCAAGCATGGAAACATGCTTCCGAACACCATACACGGCATCATATGCGATCCCTCGAAGTGCGGCAAGACGAACGTTCTCATCAGCTTGCTGGAAAGTCTGTAAGGTCTACGTTTCGAGAACTTGTACGTGTACTCAAAATCGTTGTAACAATCTAAATATCGCTACTTGGAAAATTTGCTGAAACCGATAGATAAAATTGGATATTTTACATTCTCCGATAACAGCGACGTGATTCCAACGACCGAAATGCTCAAAAATTCCATTTTTATCTTTGACGACGTGGCATGTGACAAGCAAGATACGATAAAAGAATACTTTGCTATGGGTCGTCATTCGAACGTTGACTGTTTCTATCTTTGTCAGACATACGCAAAAATACCTAAGCATCTTATACTGGACAATGCAAATCTTCTGATTCTCTTTAAACAGGATGGCACCAACTTGAAACATGTGTACAACGATCATGTGAACACTCAGAGGCAGGTATGGTGTCCCTCGGCGATGTCGTACATGCCTGTAAAACAATCGAAAGCCATGACAGGCATATACGCATATGCATATGGGCGTACTGTACAGCGCGAGAGAAGCGATGAGGGAGAAGTGGTGGGAGACGTTCCGATGTTGCATCCTTATCGCACGTCGCACAATCGAGAGAGAAAGCATTACCAGACGTGGTACGGTTAATGGTGTCCCCAGTAGCTGTCTCACTCTCTCTACGCTTGAATGCAGGCAATATGAGTGAGACATCTATAGAGACACCGCGCTGTCTCTATAGGTGTCTCGCTCGCTCTAATAGCCATATATCGCGCTTTCCTCTTTTCTCCTTAGCAGAATGCCGATCAAGGAGGCAATCTTGTCTATAGGCCAGAAAAATAAGCTATTTTCGCGAATTTTTTTTTTTCGGAAATTAAGCAGACGATTGACTTCAAACTTGATAAAAATAATAATATATATTTTATTAATGAGAATGAATTTTTATAGCGTTATATAAATAATAATGTAGTAAATATATAAAAAATAACGTGACGTGTTTAGGCGCGCGCCGTTTCACGGTTCCTATAAAATCTCGAAATACGATAGACTGGGAGAAAAACGCAAGTAAAATAATTAATCTACGAACTTGCCGCTAACTCGTTTGAATTAAGGAAATAAAAAACGAACTACTTTTTTAATATTTTAAGGCATTTAAAAATTATATTTGAAAAATCGTCATAAATATCGATGATTTTACGTTAAGAATATTTTATTTGCAAGAAAACGATATTTCACGAAATTTACGAAAAAACTTATTTTATGCCGTAAGATATGTCAAATTGTGCAATTCTTTTTAGACGCAACATATCTTTACTTTTGAAAAGACTACGAGAAGGAGGGAGAATAAATGCAACATCTTCCTTAAAATGCTACTTAAAATATAGGCTCCGCTCTTGAAAATATAAAAAAAATTAGGAGATATTTAATAATAATAAAAATTATAATAATAATAACGAGACGCTATATAGCATCTCCTGAAATCAGAGAAAAAACTTTTTTTTATATAAAAAAGTCGATCGATCGACTTCAGCATCTAATTACATATTCGAAACATGTCTATCTATCGTGTGAACTAGCGAAATAAAAATATATTAATTTTTTATATGCACCGCGCTATCTCTATAGGTGTCTCATTCGCTGTAATAGCCAATGGCATTTATGCTCGCAATTTGACATATCTTACGGCATAAAAAATATATCGCGCTTTTCTGTTTTATAACGCCATAAAAATTCATTCTCATCAATAAAATATATATCAGGTGTAGTAAAAAGAAATCCATTATTTTTGCATGAAATTGAAGGCTTTAATTACCATAGTTAGAATGATCCGATTTAGGTCAAATATGCGCCGTTTTGTTCGATAACTTGTTGCCATTTTGAAGGTAATTTCATTATGCCTCTCTCATAGAAGCCCTCGTTCCTATTGGCAGAAAATTGAGACAGTCGATTTTCACAAGCCTCTCTTGAAGCGAATTTTTCACCAGCAAAATTGTTCGCCATGGACAGGAACAGATGGTAATCACTTGGTGCCAGGTCCGGACTATAAGGTGGATGCATAAGAACCTCCCAACCAAGCTCCCGGAGCTTCTGGCGAGTCACTATCGATGTGTGTGGCCTGGCGTTGTCCTGATGGAACACAATTCCTCTCCTATTGGCAAAAGCTGGCCGCTTCTGGGCGATTGCTTCCTTCAGACGGTCCAATTGTTGACAGTACAGTTCCGAGTTAAGAGTTTTGCTGTAGGGGAGCAGCTCATAGTAGATAATTCCCTGCCAATCCCACCAAACACACAGCAAAACCTTCCTGGCCGTCAATCCTGGCTTGGTCACCGTTTCCGCCGGCTCACCGCGATTCGACCACGACCGTTTTCGCTTGACGTTGTCGTAAGTGATCCACTTTTCATCACCAGTGACCAACCGCTTCAGAAATGGGTCGATTTTGTTGTGATTCAGCAGCGATTCGCAGATGGAAATTCCGTCCATGAGGTTTTTTTTCGTTAACTCGTGTGGCACCCATACATCGAGCTTCTTTTTGTATCCAGCCTTATTCAAATGGTTCCAAACGGTTTTTTGTGCAATCTTTAGCTCTTGGGCAATTGAAACAGTGCTTACGACATGACGGTTGGACTCGACAATGTTCATGATTTTATCGATATTTTCGACAATTGGCC